ATAAAAAGTTTTTGTGGCAGTCAAATACTAAGTGTGTACATATGATGAATGACATTAAAGGACCAACATCAATGCCCCAGTCAGTGACAGGCAGGACTTGAATGACAAAAATGAGGGTGGCCCCTTTTTCTTTGAAAATGATCTAGAGCAAATCTTGAGCATCAAGACCCCTCAGTCCACCAGAAAACATGAGGGCATCAAAGCATGTAAACTAAACTGCTGTAGTGTAATTGAGAACCAATTTCAGGACTGGGTTTCACTTTCAAGGAAACTGGGACATGTGGATTTGTAGCACAAGTGCACGGGAGCTGAAAATGCAGAGCAGGTCCAGCTGTTCAGTATAAATCCTCAATGGCCCTTGCTGAAATGATTATGCCTCAAAATACAATGAAATACATCTGATGCAGGACAAAAAACAGGAACTGGTCCCTTGCTCTGATCTTCTTTGTTTCCACATGTAGTTTTAAGCAAAGTCTGTTTTCCTCAGGTACTATTAGGCAATTAATAAACTTAAATATCTAGAGAGTATGGATGCCTATTTGGATAGCCTGTTAATTGGAGCCTGTTCTTTTCTCTGATGCTGGAGATGATCACAATCTCCTGAGTAAAGCATTAGACCACTAGAACAAGACTTGCACAGCAAAAATGAACAAAAATATGCAAATACAACTTAAAATGAAAAGAAACTTGCAAATACTGCTTTATTTAATTCTTACAATAGGGAGGCACTTTTACATTAAAAAAGAAGTGCAGATGTTTCATTATTAACTACAAAACCCTAAAATATTATTCCATGAAAACAGAGAGAAATAGTGTCTGTGTGACAAAGTGATTGGTTTTTTCCTTTCATTTCATTTCTATACAATTTATTACATTTAAACAAACAAAACCTAAAAAAATCCCTAAAAACCAACAGCAAAAAACCTTTTCCTCTGTCCCTGCAGACCAGAAGCATTTAGAACACTGATGACACTTTGCTTTGTGCTCCTCATCTCTGACTTTCTGTGCTTGCTGTAGGAGGCAGAGTCTGACCCAGGGGCTTTCCAGGATTAATGGGTGCCACAGAGATACTGTAAATAAAATGATCATGTGTTTATTCGATGTCAAAAGTCTCAATCCTGCTCTGCCTTGCAAGCAAAACCTGCTTGTTTCAGTCAAGTTATTCTACAACCAAGTCCTGCACACAGAGTGTGTGTGTTGGAATGGTGGAAGAGCAGGGAATGATGACTGCAGGAAAGGATTTCCCCTCCATGGAGTCAGAATTCCAAGCTTGTTTTCCATGCCATCCTACAAAAGTGGCCTCGTATTACTGGCAATGAGCTCCTGGGTGTCAGCTTCTTGCTGGGCAGACTGGGAGGTTGTACTGGGTCAAAGCTGGGAGCAAATCCTGTATTCCACTACCCGAGTGGGAAGTGAAGTTATCAGTGAGTTCAGCCAAAGCAACAGTAACACTGAAAGATGGGCTCAGATTCTGCAACAGTGCTGTACTAACCCTTGCATTTAACACTGGAAGAAACCTCACTGATGCCACTCAGGATATCCCTGGAGAAAGGCAGTCCTCCAAATGAATATTGTCACAATCCATCCTTCTGGACGCACATTTCCACTTCAGTGTCTCAAGTGAAGACAGCAGAGCTGGGGTCAGGAATGCTGGCAGATAAATGTCTCTGTGCTTGATGGATGAGAGGATATATTTATACCTCACAGCAATTCTCTTGCTATTTACTTGGTTTGGGGTTAACAAAACCACCAGGTGAGCAGCACAGGGAGGCTTCTGGTGGGGTGAAAATGAGCTTGGAAGTGGAAAGCACACTCAAAGGATGCTAAAGAAATATTGGAAATGCTCAAAATCAGCACACCTGAGGAAAGCAATACTTTTCTAATTACCTGTTGGTTTATTAAAGTTGGCTGAGCAGAATATGGCTCTACATTCTGATTTTACTGGCAAAATTCAGGCTTTCAATGGCAGCTGGGCTCACAAATAAATCTGTTCTGGAGCTCTCTGAAGGAAAGGTTACCCTAAATAAAGGGAATATGATGGATCATCAGATTGTGCTTATATTGAGCAGTGCTAGATTTGATGGAAGAAGTATTTGCTTCAATTCTTTGGTTTTACTCAGCAAATTCCAGTTTGATGTCCTGTTCAGCAGAGCTCCTTCCTTCCTCTGTTTTCCAAAATTGCCTGGGGTGTATCTTAACTCACTTTGAAAGTAAATGACCTGACCTGATCCAGAACTCTTTTCAAATTCTAAAGCTGGGTTCTAAAGACAGACAAATTAAAGCTGGTCCAGTGTAACCAAAACTTTTCAAAACTGAGCTATTTAAAGGAACACTTCCATTTTGAAGTTGCTTTACCAACATAGAAACAACCTGTAAACATATTCAGAGAGAGATTCCAGGGTATTATTTCTTTAACCAAAAGCATATATTACAAAACCTGTAGAGATTCTTCTTTGCATGATATGATTGAAAAAGTTTAATAAGTCTGGTTTCATTTAGATTCTAATACATTAAAATCGTTTGCAACTTGTAACTTTGTGCTGATATATGAAATATAAGAAATAAAATTCTTTCTAAACAGAAATTCCTAAACTTTCTCCCCAAGCTAAATATGTCAAGGACATAGCATGAACATGGAAGATAAATCTAGCTTTAAGATTTCCCACTGATATATGAAAGAATGTGTTACAAAATTGTCGTCTTGATTGTCTCTTTCCAGCTGAACAGACAGCGTTTTCCCCTCCATTCTATATTAAAAGGGAGAAAATCGTGCTGCTGCTTATTTCCCTGGCACATCTTGCATGAAATAATGCAAGCTCCATTATGGCATGAGACTAATTACACCAATTACATTTGAAAGGGAAAAAGTTAAATTAAGATCTAAGCAGTTACTGCATGATCAGTGGGCAGGAGTGAGATCTGATGTCGTTGTGTTTGGAAATGGCTTCATCCAGATCCAGCTGTCTGCTGTTGACCTTCACCTCCATGCAGCCATTATAAAAAGCAGTCACTGGTGTAGCACCCAGAGGAACATCTGCACAGAAACACATTCAGTTTATTAGGCCAAGGCATGCAAATTCCTGTGGATTTTTCAGATCAGTCAAAACATGGGGAATACTCCACTCCCCATCCATTATTTAGTCATGGGAGAAAAGGAGCAATTTGGCAGGAAACACTTGAGTTCTTCTCCCTTTTCCTCAAAATCAAGATCAAGTCAGCAAAGCTGAGAAAGGCCAGTAAAATGTTAAATATGCATTAGAAGGCTGTTCCCATCCAGAAGCCAAACTCCAGGAATGTTTTCCATAGTAGCTTTTCCTGTGTTATCAGCCGTGAACCAAGAGTTTGTTTCCTGGAGGCCACTGTTCTTGTCCTGAGCTACAAACAGATGTTTCTGGGCGTAGAGGTCACATAAAGAACTGTCCTGCTTTTGCCAGGAAGCTACTCTAGATTCAAATCTGCAGCTTCTCACTTGGGGCACTCCTGGGAACTTCAGACATTTTACTGCTTCCTCATTGCTTCCAAGTGAATTCTCTGTGAAAGACTCACTTTATCTGCTGCTCATTTAGGTATTGTTTGGCTTAGGGCAGCATCAGATCATGGATATTCTTCCAGGAAACAATATGTTAAGCACAAAATCAAGCAGGCATTGCTCTCAAGTCTTAGGGTACAACTGGCTTCTTACAAGGTAGACCTAAGGCGATGCAAGCACCTCCAGCAATTAGAATGAGGGTGATTAAGAGCTGATCTCAAAAGCACCCTCTTTCCTCAGGTGTTAATCACCCTATCCCTCCTTAGGAGACAGACGTGGTTACCTTAGGAACAAGAGACACTGTTTTATCCTGATTTTATTTTGCTGTGAGCTGAGGTATTGCACAAAGAGTCCTGCAGAATTGTTCCTTTCTGCTTTTTTCCCCCAGCAAGGAAAACATTACTGTCAGAGAACCATGGAAGTTTCATGTAACCTGCACTGGTTGTGCTGAAGTAACAGGAATACTCCCACCACTGTCACAAGTTTGTAGAAAGGGGTATCAAAAATGGGGACCTATTATCTTCATTAAATGCGTGGGGCTTTTTAATACAGAGGCTTGTTTTTTTGGGGGGGTTTGTTTGTTTGTTTTATTGTGTTAATTTACATGTTTAGGATACTATGTAGAACTTAAAACAAAGATGACAGAAAACTGAGATTAAGGAGCAGCAAGTGAGTAATACTTGCTTCTTATCTCGTTGGGATGCATGAATAATGCCAACCTCTTCATTCTTAAGGTGTCTTATTTCTCTGTGGCTGGCAATGTACTAAAAAAGAATCATTTAAACATCACAAAGATGAAGAGGCCAAAGAAATTACTGGAATCTTAGTTACTGTGGCTCTGTTAAACTGCTGACTCACCTGCACTAAGTAAATACTGACCCATTCCTTGTCAATTCAAGACATGTCAGTCAAATTTGTAGCATTTTCTTAGGAATTTTGATTCATTCTCCATAAAATAATAGAGGATGTATAACAGTTCTACAAGTAGCAACATTGTAACTATGGCACCTTTCCTCCAGCATTTTTCAAGTTTTAATTCAGGATTTGACTATTTCTCACCTGGGGCAGTGCTATTTTTTCTCTTGATTTAGCCTGAAGTCAAACTATACAGAAGTATGTGCACACTCCAGGACAAAATAAACCTTGTGATAAGGATAATGTTAACATTATGTCTCAGTAATGTTAATTTGAATCTTGCTTTGAACAAAATATTTTCTGCTTCAACACATTCTCTGTCTCATAAAGATTGCCAGGCATCTCTTGCCCAGAGTTTAATTGTTGAAACCATATTCCTGCCTTCCCCTTCTGCACTTCTGACGCTTGGGCTGTTGACAAATGCCTGCTTTTCTTGTATTTTTGATGCAGTTCCTCAATTGTGCCAGATGGTGGCATTTCAGAAACGTGCAATGCTCACCCAACTCAAAAATCAAGACATTTTCCAAATTCAAACCTCTAGAGAGCGAGCCATGTCTTAATGTCCAAATAATGCTACTGTTGAAAAGCTGGCTACCTCCAAAGCTGAAATGACTGGAGGAAACAAGAGGCACTTGAGAGTTGAGAGCTGCTCAGAATTGCTTCTGTCTGTGTGTGAATCAACAGCTAGTTCAAGTTCCTGTTTGGTCACTAGAAGTCCAACCTGCACTTTTCTGGGGGTACATAACTTCTTTGATTCCAGCTGTGCAACAGTGATGTTCCCAATGGTCACAGTGATTTTCTAGATGGAACAATAGTAGATCACCAAAGATGTAACATGTAACTTTAATAAATCATTATACTTGGTCCTGGTGCACTTTGTATTTTCAAGTAGAAGAAAATATTAAATACTGGTGCCTTCAGCTGAAAAGCTGAAGTGTAACCATCACTTCTGATAATAAATGCTGGTTTTAAATTTCTAAGTGAGAATGTTTTACAGGGAACAACTTTGGCTACAGTTCTGAGGTGAAATCCTGTTTCACCTACAGTTTTAAAGGTAGCCAAGTGTTCACTACAGGTTCTCATGTTGTGAAAAAGGCTGCATTAGCCATGGTGCATAGTTATACTCTAGCTTGGGATGGCTGATGTAGAGGGATGTAAAACTTAAGGACAACAAAATCTGTTTATAATTTGGAAGCATATTAATAAATTATGAATAATATATTAATATATGATGATATATGAATAATATATTATTAATAATAAATATTTAATAATTGATGCAATATAAACATGTTTATAACATGATGCCATTACTGTACACAGTGCTGTCACATTCCCTTTCTGCTCTGTGCATTTGGAAGGAAAGGTTAAAGAAAACCTGATGTAATGGATCTGAGCTCAGATTACATAATGTAATCTCCCTGGCAGGAGTGATTAGTGCTTAGTCACTGCTGCAGCAAATAATTAATAGAAATATTTTCTGTATGTTATTATATGACCTAGTTTTCAAAATATTGAGGCTACCAGCTGCACTGCAAGCATGAGTAGCTTTGTTTTAGTTTGGTTTTTCACCTGGCAGCCACTAGGAGAATTGTAAGATCACCTGTGAGTCAGAGGAGTTAGAGTCCACTATGGACAATGCAAGAGGCACTGTTTCATTAGAAACCAAGGCAAACATAACACCAGTGTCTGTGGATGGGCGAATAGTCAGAGTCACATTTATTAGCCAGTCTTCAGCACTGTCAAGATTATCTGTTTTAAAGAGAATAATTGAAATTAGTAAATCCACCTGCTGATGAAAAATTAATATGGGGTTAAAAATTAGTATTTAATCTCCTCCCTACTGTGGAAAAATTAGTGATAATTTTTGAACTTATGGAAAGAACTGTAATTCCAAAGAAACCCAAGCAAATAAAACAAAAATTCCCCAGCGAACCTTCAATCCTGGATCTCCAATAGTGCCCAACCTCTGCAAATAAACTTGTGAATGTAAAGCACTCCAGAAATTGAACAGATGACACTACTGGGACCTGAATTCTCATTCAAGCAAATTCCTAACAGAAGTTAAGGGAACCACTGGTGGATGCAGAAGTGTATAGCTTAGTTTGTGTGCCTTTTTTTATTTTCTTTCTTTTAAAATGTCATCAGTTCCATCACCAGTCGAACAAAAAACATAGGGATAGAAAAATACTTACTATAGTTTATCTGGAATGCTGCCATTCCAGTGCCAGGGTAGAAGGATCCTCTCCCCACTGCTACTAAGCAGTGTTTGCTTTGTTTTTCTTGAATAACTTCATTTACTCCTGAATGTCCCTGGTTCATCAGGTTCCAGGCCCGGATACAACCATCCAGACGAGGGTTAATCTACAGCAGAATGACAGCATTGGGGGTTTGAGTCCAAAGTTGGTTTAAAAATATTAATAATGAGGCACTATTTTACATATCAGCTTATCTCTATGTGGCCAATACCAGTCTTATTAATGCTATAGGTTGCAGCAGTGATGCTGAGAGGAAATAAAGGGCAGGCATTTGGTATCTCAGCCTTCAAAAGGTATTTCTGGTTCAACATTTCCCACTTTGCTGCCAGGGATCTGGACAAGAAGAGATTTCTTCCACTTTTAAAGCTCGTGTTGTGACCTAGACAAAAGGGCAGGCAATTTTCTGTAGCTGAAAGAAAATGATCTCTAGAAACATTCCTCGTTCAAAGATTTATACCAAAGTGCAAAGAAATTTCTGGAATTGTTTTCTACTGGATAAAGGGATGCTATTGTGTTGTTCCATAATTTTTTTCTCTGCTTTGCTTTTGAGCAAAAATTGGTTTTTTAAAATTTATTAAAAAAAAAATAAATCTAAGCTCTCTGTTGAGATCACCAATTAGTTTGAAAGCTCCTGGACTGTAAAGAAGACAGTTGCAACAACTTGACTGTACCCATTCTTGAGGCTGGGAGACTGAAAGAATCATGGACCTTGTCCATCCTGGGCTGTTGTAAAACCTTGTGAAAATGAAAGCTCACTGTGCTGCCTACACAGCGAATGCTGCACTTACTTAGAGCTTAGCAAAAGGCAGGACTAGGACATGAATCACCCTGAAATGCACCCTCAGCAGCAGCAGTGGTGGTGATTTAGGGAATCTTAAAGCTATATTAGGAAACAGGCTACAGAATCCTCAAAGATTAGACCAGAAGTGCTGTGTTTTTGCAAGTGAAGCCTTACTGAAGGCAGACTGAAAAGCTTCACACATGTTTATTTTCAAAACAGTGGTTTAATAACCACATTTTCGTTTCCTAAATAGGTTCCATGCCAAGCTTGCTTCCTCTGTGACTCCCAGGAGTACAAAACTGAATAGAGTACCATCGGCCAATATTAGTCTTATTATTATTTAATTACCTGTTTAACAAGAGCACCGCCCACTCTGCGAGGTAATCCTGCAATGTACACCTTGGTTTCCAAGAAACCCTGGGACTGTTTGAACAGAGTTCCTGGGCTGTTAATACTCATCACAGCCTCTTTAGCTATTTTTACACTGATGCTGTGTTCTAATTCTTCGACTGATATCTGGAATAAAATACAAATAATTATATATACATACACACACACACAAATGTAGAATATATTAAACACTAATTACATAAGCCCTATGAAGCCTGATTAATGTTTATTTAAATATCTACCTTGTAAAAGAGTTTTAGTGCAGTCACTATTTAAATTATATTTAAACTTGATGCAGGACAGCTGTCCATATCCAGGGACATTCACAGGAAAGTAACAAACAAAATCTAACTGACATTAAAAATTTGGGGTGCTCTGTAGATTGTGTAAGTGAGAAAGGCTTTTCATCTCATCTCAGGTAGGAAGGCTTGAAAAGCAAGATGAATTTTTGGTCTAGCAGATCTAAAATTTGCTCTAAACACAAAGTATCCAATAAATGTGCACTTGACTATGCAATCAGAATTTTGAATATTCTGCCACTGTCCTTTCCATGTTTAAAATTAATAATTGCTATGTTGATAGCTAGAGGTAAATATAATTTCCTTGATTCTTAAAAGGTAGCAGAATTTCCTGATGCAAGGCATTCCTATGCATTTCTTGGTTGGTTTTTAAATCTGGAGCTTGAGTGCATCATTTTAAGTGTTTCAGTAGTTGCTCAGTTTCTCCCTACTTTATTTATCAACAACTTCCCACAGTGAGTAAAAGGAAGGGAATGGGAGAAGAAAATCCAACTCACTATATGCCACAGTCCATCATTAATGGCTTTGCCTCCACTGGTGACTTTTGTTCCAAACTCATTCTTGAATTGAATCTCAATCTTTCCATCCCGAAGAGCAAGCAAAATCCATGCTGAGCTGTCCAGGGATTCTGCATACAGGATAACCCCCTCTGTGTCATATGTCCGGAAATCAAACTCTGCTGTAAATCTGAGTTGTGAAGAAGGAATCTTAATAAGAAGACAGGAAAGGTGAAATACTGTACAGCACAGGATAACTCATTAGTAGGGTTAGAGAAAGGTTCACAGGTAGTAACTTTTTTGTCTCTGTTTCTGAGCAGTTGTGATTTTTGCACATAGTCAAAAGTCAAAGTCAAAAGGAATATAAGCCTTATTCACTCAAATCCAGTGGGAAGTTTTCAGGTTAACACCCTGACCTGGGATTTGAAAGAACCTTGGTGCAGTTCCCAAATTCCCTCTGAGCTTTACCTGTGAAGGATATCCCACTCCCTTCCGAGTAGGAAGAGAGATGTAATATTCCTATTGTATTTTGTAGGGATGCAAGGAAGACAAAAGAGAAGATCTATGATGTGCTTCAGTACAACCAAGGGTTACCAAGTGTTGTCCTGAAAGAATTATAACCTGGAAATTCACTCTGCCCTTCATATGCTATTCTCTCAGTTGGCTGGATCTAGGTTGAATGTGTGTATGTAACAAAATTAGGATTTGCTATGCAGTGGAAGAAAGGAGAGTAGAAGCAGAGTAAAAAAATAGTCTTTGGGACTAGACAAAACAGGTTAAGGGTGAAAGGAGAAAGCAAAGCATTTGGAAATTGGAAAGCTGGGGTTTGGCAAGGCAGCTGTCACTCAGAACTGGGGTCGCTGTCCCTCGCAGTGCTGCTCTATGTCCCCTAGATGGGGCTGTCCCTCGCCAGACGCACCGAAACCCGCTCTGTATTTACACCGGACTTCAAACATTTATCATCTCAGGAAGCTCTTCCAGGACAGCATTAGCACCCGGTCAGCTTGGAACAGCGGCAGAGGACAGAGTTCCCAGTATTTATGTCCATCTGTACGGTTCTGAGGCTCTGGGGATCACCAGCTCGACAGCTGCTGCTGCTGTTACCTTCCAATTGTTTGGTCACAAAGTCAGGGATTGCTGCAATTTTGGCTGTGGCAGCAAAGAAGTCCAAGAGCAATAAAGGGGGTCAGTGCCACAAGCAATCGCTCTGACAGCTGTAAAGAAAATCATCCAGCTGGTGCCCTAGACAAGGCACCGTGCTCTGTGGATGTCTTTGGAACACTCTGTGTGTGAAAGGAAGTCCAGGAAGGGGCAGGGGGGCAATGGCCTGATTTTGCTGCTCAGCAGGGTGGGCAGAGCACGTCCCAGCTTCTACCCGAAGCAGGGGTGAAGGAGCAGCAACATCCAAACTAAAGCCATTCCCATGTATAACTGGAAGCTACACTGCAACTATTTTCATATAACTTCTGAATTTTATGTTAATAATTCTTAATGCCTTTCCATCCATCCATCCATCCATCCATCCATCCATCCATCCATCCATCCATCATCCATCCATCCATCCATCATCCATCCATCATCCATCCATCATCCATCCATCCATCCATCCATCCATCCATCCATCCATCCATCCATCCATCCATCCATCCATCCATCCATCATCCATCCATCCATCCATCCATCCATCCATCCATCCATCCATCCATTATATAAAAGTATCTTATCCAAGGGGGAGATGGTGATATAATTTAGGCATGCAATGCATTCCTCCTAAACCCACAGAAAATTAATGGAAACAAATGTCTGTCATTCCAATGCATCCTTTAATCAATAGCAAATGCTTACCTTGTAACATTTGGCAGTTTGAACTTTAAGTAGAGAACGGGAATTCCTATAAATTGCTCTGCCAGGTAAAGCAGTTGATAATTCTTTTCAAGATTCAGTGGGATACACTCAGTAACAGACTGAAAATGGTAGAGAAAAAAGGCTGTTAATGCATTGTGATAGCTTACGAAGCAACTCCTGTTGTTGCCTGCTACCCTTTTTTATTTTTAAAGTAGTGGCTTACCTCTGTTGTTTTAGTTTATTTTTTAACCTTGAATACCTATGTACAAATGAAATGGTGTGGTTTTGCTTTTACTTGAAACATCCATTATTTATACTGCTGGAGGATAATCCAGGTTGACACACAGTTCTGGTGGATTGAAACTAATATTTAAATATTTAGTTTTTGAACTAAGAATTCCAATCTTCCATAAAGCATTTTTCATTTACCAGGGATACATGACACCCACCTTCTAGGGAACTACCAAGCTTCATTATTAAAGTTCTGCAGCTTTAAACCTGCTCAGGTGTTAGAAGGGAACAGACCAGAGCTGTATCTTGGGAAGACTGTGTTAAAGAGGAATTAAAGAATCACAGTGCTTATGGACAAGTAGGAGTCTCAAAGTCTCTTTGATCAAATTTGAATCCCTCAAAGTATTCTGTGACTGTTTTCTACACTCTAACTTTGCTATTCCTGATGCAGCAGTTCCATTAAATGTACAGGTGCTCTTCTTGAATTTTATGGCTACTTCATTTTATGGCTGCTGGTGTCACTAGTCTTTAGATTGAACATATTTTCAGCTGACTGAACTTTTTTTTTCCCCCAATTAAAAAGCATGAAACTAACTTCCAGATAGAGAATTAATCACTTTTGAACAACAGCACTGAAAATAAGAGCATATTCCAACCTCATTACATCTCACCATTTCAAGGATGAGCAAAATGAAATAGAATGACTGCCAAGTGTTGTTCATTAAATATCAGTAAGTACAAACAAGACCTAATACTAATAATTCTGGAACTTGTGTCAGATCTTGTTCCTGGACTTTAAGCCAAATTTTCTTATACTCTGATAGAAGTGTTTTATTGTTGTTAGAAGTCCTTTATTGTTGGCAGTTATCTGAGCTCACTTCACATAACATCTCAGACTGCCTGAACTTTTCAAAGTATACAGAGAACCACTTACAAAGAAATCCTTGGACTTCAGTCCTTGAACACTGATTCTCTGGAGTTTCAAACTTTCTGCTCCTAAGAAGTGTAAATTTTCAAACTGATCAAGAGCAGCCAATTTTGGCTGCAAGATGTTCTCCAAATGGCAAGTATTACTGAGTGCTTTTCCTTAAGCTATGGCAGATGAGATCTGTGGAAAACAATCCAGGGTGGTTTTTTTTTTTTTTCAAATCAAACCAAGTAATTCTGAAATAGAGAGTGAAAACTTTTGCACAGCCTAAGGAAAACTTGGGAACATATGGACAAAAGGAACATTCTGTCTCTGAGTAGGCTGAACAGGAATTATTTGTTTGGTAGGAGAAAGCTGAGACTTATTTTGGAAGCAGCAGGGAATAAAGACGCCTGGCTAAAGCAAACTGCTTTTGACAAGACTCCTGTAAGTGAGCATGCATGAACTGAGTGGCATCCAAATCTCTGCTGCTTTGTGAGCCAAACCATAGATCAGAATCCCTGACATATTCTCAGGAATTTTTAATCAGTTCTCAAATAGCTTCCTATTTGCTTTAATCTAAGCAATCCTCTCATCAAGAAATACTCAACTTTGTGATTTTCCACATAGAAGTGTACATAGTACAGTTTTACCTCGCAATTCTTCATGTCCTTAGAGAGCTTGAACCCTTTCTTGCCATCACAATAGCAGCTGTAACTTCCTGGTGAGTTCACACAGAGCTGAGCACAAATATTTTCAGCACATTCATCAATATCTAGGGGAAATTGAAGCAGACAGAAAGACTTTTTTCATGGCATGGACAGAAAACTAACACGAATTAATGGAATAACAGACCAGAGAAGTTCTCTGGAATAACATGAATCAAAAAGGTGATTCAGTAATCTGATAACAGGCCTGGACTGCAGAGCTGGAGACAATTTGGTCTGATTTCTAAGGCATAAGCTGGCTGAATAGTGTGAGACCTCATAAATTGCTATCACAGATGGCACAAATCCTATTGAGTCAGATCTCTTCCTCTCCTTGTAAAACATGATGAGAGCTCAGATTATTAAAAGTATATATGGCAAATATGTGAAGAAAAGATGTGCTTTATTAATATAAATCCCAAATAATCTCAGGGCAGAATACCTTTTAAAATAACATACAACAATCTCATAATGTCTAAGTTTCAGACAGCATCTACTTGTGGAGAATAGTCTGATTTGAGATGATTTAAGCGATATCAACTAAAAGAATTTCATTTTATATTTATTAGGTTGTGCAAAGTAAGTAATTTAGAAATGAAAAGCTGTTTAAATGGCTAATGTAAATCTTACATTTCTAATATAGAAACAAAATCTCTCCTTGACAAGAAACTCCAATGAGGATGATTTGGTCTTCAGATAAAGAAATTGTAACATTTATTCTGAAACAAATATCCCTTCTAGTGGGAAGAAAAAAATTATTTTGTACCAATGAAATGCATTTAAATCTGGGGGGGTTTTAAGACTGAAGTACTTTTCTTTTTTTGCTGCTGTTGCTTGGAGGAAGAGAGGTAAGGAAAAAAAACAAACCCTGTTCTGTTCTTCAGTGTAATAGTATCTGTCATCATAGAGAAAGCTGTGCATAAATGTATGTAAATTCAATTTTCCTAATAAGCATAATTGAGTTTAGCCACCTACAAGCAATACAACAATGAAAAGCTCATGTCATTTAGTATTTCTGTAAGGCTACGTTCCTGTCAGGCTGCACAATCCTGTCCTTAGACAGGATTTGGTGACTCATTTAATGTGGTTACAACAAGGTCTAAAAGCTTAGCACCATAATCCTCCTGCTAGGGAGGTAAGACTTTCCCTGTTGGAACGTCGTCATCCTGCAAGCTCCTGAACCCATGTTCCAGCAGAAATACAACACTTACATGGGCTGCATCAAATTGAATTTATCTGAAGGAAACCCTAAGAGTAAGAATTAATTACTGTGAAGTTTTTCTCACTTTAGTGCATTCAGGAACAGAAAATTTTCAGTAGTGTTTTAATCCAACTGGACAAAGAGCTGACACCTGGATATGCAATCATTACCACTGTGCAGAGCCTTACCACAAGAGACCTGCAGGAAAAGCCATGGAGCAAAAGACTCATGGCCACCAAGAAGCTGCTTCTGTGTCCTTTTTAGCAGTAATATAAGGCAGCTTTTTCACTCACTGACAGGTTTTTCTTAAACTGACAGTGTAGATTTGTCTCCATTGTAAAATTCTAAGAGCTTTCACATCTGTTTACAATTGAAATTTAATTTCTGATGTGCAGTAAACAGAAGATTTAACAAGCAGAGAGAAATAAAAAATATTCTAGGACAAATATGAAAATACTTTCAACACTGGAGAAGTTATGGTCTTTGTATGAGTGGCTTCTTGCTACTTCACTGCTAGCTATCAATACTTTTCAACTCTGCTATAACTGTTACAGAACTTTGGAAATTTTTAGTTCCAGATTTTAATTTCACGAAAGATTCTTTTGGAGCATCTCCTTTTTTCACAGTTCTTTCTCTGGATATTTAGGAATAGTTTTATTTGACATTTGAGGTCTTTATAAAAAACCTTTTGAAAAAACCTTTAGAGAACTCCCATGCTGTCACATAATAAAGCCTGACAACCTAAGAAACAACTAATTTAATAAAGAATATGAAGATTCGTCAGTAGATGAGGAGCTCAGTTTGGTATAGCAGTGGATTAAAAAAAGAAAAGGGGAAGGGGAAGATGAAAGATATGGAAAAGAGGGAGCTGGGGGCAAAGACCCACCTTCACAGTTTTTGGAAGTTGAATTATATGTGTAGCCTTCTGGACATTCACACTCATATCTCCCCTGGGTGTTTTTACAGATGGCTGTCCCACAGATGTTTGGATGTAGCACACATTCATTTATATCTAGAAACAAACAAGTCATTAAAAAACAACTCCCACTCTTGCACACCATTTTTCTTCCCAGCCTTATCCTGTGCAAACTGAGTGAGGCTGGCAAATTTTCTTGGTAGCTCTACCATGCTGTCACAGCAGACTAGGGCTACAGCCAGGAAGATTTCCAGAGGGCTGTAAAAGACACTTTTGCATGCTCCCAGTGAAAAAATTCTCTGCCTGCCTATTTTTCCCATCCCTTCATGCCCTCTGTGGGTAACAGGGAAAGGGATGCATGTCTAGGAAGGCATAGAGAGAAACAGACTGCAGATTTCCCATAAACTAAACCAGACTGCATGGTAAAATCCCATCTTAGAAAAAGACATCTCTTGTCCAGAAAGACAAGAGATAATCCAATCAGAGGTTCTTCCATGCTACAATCAATTCATGTCAGTTTTCTTTTAATTGGCTATGCTGAGAGGTGTTCAAGTCTCTCACTCACTCTCTATCCCTCAAACCATTTTAGTGTCTATCTTCTGTCTTGTTTCCAATTTGTCAATGTCATTTTGCAAATGCAGATGTGACAACGGGATTCAGGGTATTGTATCAATCTTATTAAGTGTGTTTGAGACAGAAAAGCATCAGATCCCTGGTAGTACTGCACTCCCACTTGTGAATGCAGGGATCATTCTGATTTTCTCTGTGGTTTTGTAGCAGTTGTGGAAACAGGAGATTCTGCCACTGGCTTGCTTGGAGTCCTGCAACTGTATTAAGTCAAAGCTGCCCTGAATTCAGACTACCCTTCTACAGTTAATAAGTGTATTCCAAACTCCTGGTTAACTTTTAAAAATATTTAAATATTTTAAATATTTAAAAATATTAAAAATATTTAAATGCAGTTTATCCAATGATTAAACTAACATTCAAAGCACTAAGATATATTAGTTTATTTTTGATTAGTTTTTTACCAGATTTTCCAGTGTCTTTCCAAGAATTACAGAGGTTCTAACCAATTTATCTGCTTGCCCTTTTTCATAAACCCTCAGTCTTCTGTCATTATGGCATGTCTTTAGAGGTTATTAATTCACAAAAATATTTAGACTAAAGAAAGTGGTAGAAGATGGCCATCAAGTTTAACCTCTAAAATTATCTGACATTATCCAAAACTGTTGTCATAATTTGGTAATAAAATATGACATTAAAATGAAATGAAGTTGTAATTTTTTCTAACTATGCAGTAAGAACTGTTAATTATGTCAATACAGTCTTTATTTGGAATGGAATGAAGCATGTCGGTCATGGTCAACGGTAGGCACAAGCATGTGCAGAAAAAATTATGATGGGTGAATTAAAGAAAAATCTTTCCATTATGAGATATTTTTGATTCATTAATAGTTTCTTCTCCAATGAACTTCAAACTGCAGAAAGAGCAGCATGGCTAATTAGGAGTGATTTAGCCTAAGTGTTTACCAGAGAGAAATTCCATGGTAACAATATCAGCTATTCATATCACTTTAGATTCTTGTTTCAGCAAGCTTAAAGGATATGTGATATGGTGAGAGACCAAAATGAGCTTTATGGAGCTCCAGTAATGAAGAAGAATCTCATCTATAGCCGTTCCCTCTTTCTTTCCTTGCTTCTTAATCTGGTTCATTATTCAGCTGCCCAAATGCCTGCAGTGTGTCAGGAATGAGCAGCCAAATTAAACCAGGACTGGATATTTCAGAGGCAATGCAGGAGCATTTATGGAACTATTGGATCAAACTCTTCCCTCTCTCTGGTCAGCAGGCACTATGGTGGCATGGAAAGATGTCCCTCTGGAGTCTCCCTACCTCCACAATCCCGCTTGTTGGAATGCATGAAGTAGCCATCTTCACACAGGCAGCGGAAGCTCCCAGGGAAATTGGAACAGCGCTGGCTGCAACCTCCATTGAAGTCTTCACATTCATTAATATCTATAAAGAAAAGGGAATAAAACTCTCTGCTGTGAGGAAGGCATCAATTGACCAGCTGCAAATACTATTCAACAGTAAAAATGTAATTGTGCTTCTGAGAACCAACATGAAATTGAAGACTGCACCTTCCTCACAGTTCTCTCCTCTCCATCCTGCTTTACAGACACAGGTATACTTGGCTTGTCCATCTATGCAATCCTTATATCCATCTTTATGGCACGGCAGGGGGCTGCACTGGTTTGAAATTTCTGTGGGATGGAAAACATAAAATCCTTGTTATTTGGGGTTATTTCTCCTTAAGAATGGCTTTAGTCATTTTTCTTCTCTTCCTACAGGTACCTGTTATGAAATAGGAAAGGTCTTGATGAATAATATGAAGCACTCCCACAACAATCTTGCTACTCATTCTGTCAGCAAGAATTTTTAAGTGAGTGAGAACATATAAAGCTACTGGTACTTTTCCTTTGTCAGGCAGAAAATAACTAGAAAACAAATTACTTGCTAAGATAATCCCTGCAAAATGTGACCAGACTTGATACTATTATGTTAAAAGTTGTATTTCAGTTTTTAAAGAACAGTGCTCTGCCCCCATCATATTAGCACAAATTTCACTAGAAAGGTCAAAGTTTCAAGAATTCAAGATTAGAGAGTTGAGTTTCTCTGTTCAATAGTGGTCAGACAGAGAAACTGGTAATTTATTGCATTATTACAAACTGAGCTGGAAAACATGTTCAGCCATGACCACGTGCAGTGTAATTTTTAAGAATTTTTTTGCCTTCCATTGCTTTCAATGATAAAAGGAGTGTCAGAAGGTAAAGGATAAGTACTCTTATTCAAATTAATTGGAAGTTTCTTTACATTTGAGAAACATCCCAAGTTTCACGCTTTGTGATCTTTTGTTTGGAATCCATGACTGTGTTCCAAATAATATTTTGATTTGTTTGGTTTTGGTTTTGTTTTTGAAATTTTCAGCTGGTAATGCAGCTATGCTAAAGAGTGGTAGAAATGACAATTAACAAGAGAATCTCTTACTCCACCTGACAGAATATGACTTGCTAGAGGCAAAGGGTTTGGCATAAATGTTAAAGATGTGATAGAGTACAGAGGACACACTGGGGAATATTGTTGGGTTGGTATAGGACACTTCTGTTTGCAGAGGAACCCTGCCTTCCAGGTTGCAAGTCAATTGTGATCCTTTTATGAAGTTAAAAGCAGTCACTTAAACTACTTTCTCTGGAAATGCTCTGTCTCACCTCATGTATTTTGGTCAGTTGCTGGTTTTGATTATTGAATTTGCCTGAGCTAAATGATTATTTGTCTCTTTTTGTGTCCCTGTGAACTGCTTTTTAGCCACTGTGTGTTCCAACATCAGGACTTACCCTTGACACAAGCCCTCAGGTCAGCTGGAGAGTCTGGAGTGACTGCAGCCACCCTGAACACCCCTGCTCGATGGGAGGCAAGGCAGCCTGCAAATGCAAAGCCACACAATCAGCTCAGGGTCCAAACAGCTCATTTACACTGAAATTACACCACTTGCTGCATGGCATCTTCAAAGAGCCTGCTCTCACAGCTTGAATTGCAAAACTGGTCTGGGCATGTTAAGGACAGCTGATCACAGCCCAACCTCCAGAGTGCCTCTGTGAGGATCTCGGCACACAGGACATGCTCTGCATTATAATCAGCATGGAAATCATCCCAGTGCTAGGGGCAGAAAAACTAAACCAGTGACCAAATTACCCAAATGAGAGCATCACTGAATCATACACCACAGTTGTTTAGGTTGTTGTTTTTTTTTTGTACTTACTTAAATATTTGGGATAAAAATATTCCTGCAGAAAGAAAAGAAAAATAAAGGCTAAGAAAAAATTCAGGCAGATAAAATGACAGCAAAATACATCATTGAATGTACTCTAAAGTATATTGGTATTATAACTACAAAAGTAGACAAAAGTTACTTTGAGTCACAGAATATAGGCCTGGTTTTCTATATGACTATTGTTTGGGCTAAAGCAGAAGACCATTTAATACACACAGCACTCAGTGGTGAGATTAAAATACTGCACTGAATTGGACACTTTGAAAATGAAGCCAATGCAAATTAACTGAGTGTCAAAATTACTTTGAAAATTGTCTCTTTAAATGGAGGGATGTTGTCTAGTGTTATTACTGGGAGCTGTGAATTCCATGTGCTTCTGTCTTTCCCCCTGCCAAGAACTACAATCTATGTCATAGATACTCATAAAATACTTACAGTTTCAGGATTATTTTCAAAGATTTCCCTGGCTTCTTCCCGGTTGCATAATTCTTCAATGCATTCTCTTTCTAGATTTCCCTTCTTACTTTCTTCCATGAAAGAGTTTGCTCGGCGTTTCCTCAGCAGGAACTGAGAGGCATACTGCTGGGGTAAAACTTGAGAGAAACAAAGCAACTCCGTTATTATTTTTGCAACAGCTGAGAAGTGCTGTAAACACTGAGCAAGTATGAGAATTTAACACAAAATTCTGAATTACATGCTTAGTCAGGAGTTGATGTTCGCTATTGTTTCGAAAAATGCTAGCAAGAAATTATAGGAGTCTCTATGTGGAAGCTGTTTCTGAGCAAAAAAATCCTAAAACTTTAATCTGTACTATTAATCCCTAATAGCATCCATGCCTGAAGCCTAATGATTTGTGTTTTTAGATTATGGTTATTACAAAGTGAGATATGTAACCAACAAGTAGATAAAAAAAGCTAATTATATTACTGGTTTCAGTGATCTGAAAGTAAATATTCTGACCCTACTTAATTTATGTGAGTCCAAAATTATGTCTTACAAAGTCAGGCTACCAGTTATATACATTTTACAAGGTAAAACAATCCTTGCCACCTTTTATGTCTCAGCATAAGTCATTATTTAATTTTCACGTGTCTGGTTATTGTCATTTTAGTGACTTTTAACAAGTGATGAACACTGAGAAATGACACTAAAAATGAAAGATGTCTGCTTCGATGTTCTTTGCAGAGCATACAACACTCCAGGAACAGCCTCTAAATTAGACTGCCTGGTTTAATTTTTGGGTATAGCTTGTGACCATGAGAAAAACAGATGAGCACAGCTGGAAGAAGTCCAGCTGATTGGGTTAAAGTGTGCAGATGACAGATATTAACTGAGAGCACCACACTTTCACACCTGCCCTCCTTTCTGCAGCCTCTGCACAACTTAACCTTGCAGACTGCCCAGCTGTGTGAGGGCTGTGACACCTGCCGTGCACATCAGGTGTGGTGGCTGTACACATCCATCCCAGCCCCACAGAAAAGAGCCATTCAAGCACAGCATCAGTCCAGGACTGCCTGTGACAACTCCTCAGACCCAGAGCACCCATGAGCCACACCAGCAGCCAAGTGCCACAGCAGAGCTCCCAGTTTCTCTGCACTAACAGGAAAGAAAAAAATCAAGGAAGCTGACTAGAAACAGGCCCAGAGCTTGAATGGAGCCAGATTTAACACTTAACTCAGACCACACCATCCTAAACACATTAAAGGTCTCCATCAAGTGACAGAGAACATTCTGAAGTGCTGTAACATTGGGTAATGACCTGAAGATACCTTTGTGTTACAGCCTCCTGAGTGAATTTGACGTGGGCTGAGCTTGTAACTACAAACTAATCTATTTGCTTTCATTCTGGTAAAACTAATCATCCTGGTAAGGCAGTAAATAAGATTTCCTGAGCATAAGGTCGATATACCACAGCTCACCTCCAAGGTTTTACAGCACACCTCTATCTCAGAGAGCAACAAGCAAGTTGCTTAGAAATGTAAGAAGTGTCAATTAATCAGACTAAATGCTTTATTTCTCACTAGTAAGAAGGATGCAGAAAGACCATCTGTCCTGAGGCAAAAGCAGTGACAATAAAACAGGAAAACTGTGTATTATAGCTGCTGGGTTTATTTCCATGGGAGATTTCTACCCCCACAAAGATGTTGACATCAAAGCTGTGGTGCACAGGCTCCGTGGTGTAGAGATGAGACTTAATTCACAGCTGACTTTAAACCATCTTGTTTTGTCCTTTATGGACATTATTGTCATTTTCACACAGTTTCACAGTACATAAAAGAAATTTTCAGTTGTGTACAAACAGATGTAATAATTTCTACTTCATGTCCTCAATACAGTGGGGCAATGGGAACAAGCTGGTTTCCTATAACTTCTGACTTAAAACATGTAACTCAGAGCAAATTCTGTGTTTTTGTAGTGCAAATATTTCAATCCCCATGCACAGAATTAGCAGTGTAATTCTTCATCTGTGTTTTAATTACAAAGATTATGATAGGACCTTTATTAAAAACAAAAAAATCCTGACTGCTGCTGTTGCCAGTCTGATTACAGGAAACTCCAGCCCATTTCTGACCCTGCCAAGCCAAGTTAACCCTTAATGCACTCGGGGTGCTTCATGTGGTGATCACTTGTGCAACTCCACAGCCTAACAATTTCCAGAGGTGCTGTACAGCCACTGTGTAGTGAATGCTTATCAAGCATCTAAAAAGAAAAAAAAAAAAAATTGTTGGAGAGGATGAGATTCAGTGATTTCTTACAGCTGTTCTGTTGTGCAGATGCAACCATAACCCTGCTTAAAGTGGGCCACTTAAACAAAACTTAGAGCAGCTTACCTAACACTCCAGCCAAGGAAAGGAGTTGAATAAAACTGAATAAAAAGTGACACCACTGTAGGAAGTGTGAATCTTGTTTGCCCAGCTCTGTAACTCCAGTGACAAGAGTATCCTGAAAAGCTCATCAGTGACATTATGCAGCCAACAAAATAAAGCTGGCCACTAATATTTACTTGCACCTTCTCCAAAATGTGTCCCTCATCTGATGTTTGATCAAATCCACCTGCGTTGAGGCTTGCAGAGGCAACTTTATGATTACTGAATGGCATGTGCTGCATTATTAAAGCTGTTTTCTCTTCTTCCTCCTCTCCTCCCCGTCATTCCAGGAATCTCTGGCACTGTTCAGAGCCAGAGATAGGAAACAAGACATTATGGACCAGGGAAATTCTGGATAAGCAGGACAGCTTATTTCCTGCTCTTAAGAAAAATGACGAGGTATGCAGTGGAGAAGATAAATATAACAGAAAACGTGACAAAAACAGGAGAAAATATCATTATGAAATATTTATTAGACGATTTATTTTCAGGACCAATTAAAAAAATTATAAAATTAACTTTCATCTTTTGATACTACTCCCTAAGTCTGAAACCCCAGCACCTTACAGAATAGTAAACATTCGGTTTCTGTTCTGCCAGTTTAATCATTAGTAAAACAGGTCAGAAACAGGCTTACTTTGAGCTGCAATTCTGTTTGTTTCAGCTCCACTATCTTCTCTCACTATTAAGCTCAAAGACTTTTGTGTCAAATACAGAATATATATGTGGGGTTTTTTGTTTTGTTTTGTTTTAATCTGTATGTAAGAGCAAGTAGCTCTTACCTAGGCTGAGAGGTCTGGACTTACAGGAAGGGTCAGTGCCGCTTTCCCGGACTGCACAGTAAAGCCACTCTTCTGAGCAGACCCTGATCTCCCGCGGGTTGTTCCAGCAAGGGAACCGAGCTCCCTGTGCAGACACTTTCCCGAGGGCGGCTGAGCGGCGCTGCGGCCGCACACAGCTCCAGAGC